GTCTACCCTGCCCCCAGAAGCCATATCCTCCATTGGTCTGTATAAATAGTATGGATTTCTGTAGGCTCTCTATGGAAATAATCATCACTGATCTGGGGGAAGAAAAAGTGAAGGTACCCATGGTAACATCTCTTATATACTGCAGTTTTTACTCACTTTTTCATATGCATTTTGTAAACCAAACATTAATGTTGAGGCATAGCTTAGGATCACAATTAGAACCAAAAATTTTAAGTAGGGTGTCAGGGTTGCACATCAGGAATTCAGCAATGTGGGAGATGAAGGTCAAAGGATTATAGTTTCAGTTTGTTTGGGACCAAATGACAAGTCCTTGTCTGGAAAAATAAACTAAAAATCAGATCAAAAGGACTGAGTTTGTGGCTCAGATGGTAGAGCATTACCTAAGCAGCCAGGAGGCCCCGAGGTCAAGCAAAAAAAATGCTGCCTTCCTCCCCAAAAAGTTTTCCTTTCTGAAAATTTGCAAGAAAAAGAGTTATTTTGTGGAATACAGTCTATTTTGTTAGACTCAGAGATAAAATAGGAAATAAGAAATTCACATTACTGAAAAGATATTTTACTTTCTTCTTTTTATTTCTTAGTTTTTTTTCAACCTGGATTTTTGCTATTTGATTCACTACCCAGGACCTGAAGAGTGTCTTTATATTTGCAAAGCTAAGCCTCAAACTGAATAATCTTATATCTTATAGATATATGATTGAGGTATGTTTTTCTCCTTAAGGATTCAATTCCTCTCCCCCCCGCCCCACTACCAAGGGCAGAACTGTTTCGCTTGTAAAATGTCTCAGGGAATAAATATCCATGTACTATGGAAATGAAGCATGAGAAAGATGGCAGAGATTAGAGGGAATGTCACATGTCTGTTTCTACCGCCCCATGTTTCAGAAAAACTGGAAATATTTATTTACCCATTTACCTACCTATCTACCTACCTACCTACTAATGAAGGGACAGCAGTTAAGTAAAATGAAGACTATTTATAAGAATGGTCACCCTTGTACTGCAGCTACGTGTCATAAACACCAGTGTGTCACAGCCACTTGAGGCTGGAGAATGGCAATAATCTTTCTAAAAGGAAACATGACTTAAAACTGGCAGCACCAGTGGTTATGAACAGAGATGATGTGAAGGGAGACTTTAGGTCTCAGATTACTTAAGGTTATTTATCAGAACACAATTGTACGACTTGAACAGTACAGATTCCTCATTACGTATTCTCTGGGTTGAAGTACCATTCAGTTTTCAAATTGTCTTACAGAAAATGCAAAAGCTAAAGGAGCTGTACATGGAGTCATTTAGCAGCAAAATCTTTTTATTGCAGACTTTTTTCTTTGCTCTCTCATTTCTCTCTGACAAACCCAGCCTCTCAGAATGGAACCTGTAGTCATATCATCATCGTCATCATCATCACCACTACCATCATCATCATCACCATCACAAACAATATCAACAATTTCATCATCACCGTCACCACCACCACAACTATCGTCATTATCATCACTACTATAACTGATCATTTTTTATTAGTAGTATCACCAAGTTTAATTTATGCAACCCAAAAGTTAGCAGCTCAAAGAATCATTTTAAATAATAACTTGGACCCTAGAGGCATATGGAAATACTAGGAATCTGAAATGCATTAAGTTTGAGGTACTTTTTTCATAGGCTGAGTCTTAGTAGTCAGTAGCTTAATCATAAGAATATTCTGAGGAATTTAAGGTATTTTAAGGCAGAGCATAGTTGGTAATGGGCACACTATTTTTATTCTAGCACAGCAATAAAATATGTACATACATCAATCAATTGACAGAGAGATATGAATTTTGATTTCCTCCTTTTATAGAGAGAGCAATACTATGATAAATATTATAGCCTTGAGCCCAGCACTGGTGGTTCACATTTCCAATCATATTTACTAAGGAGGCTCAGATCTGAGGATCGAAGTTTGAAGTCAGCATAGGCAGGAAAGTCCATGAGATTCTTAGCTCCAATTAATCATCAAAAATTGGAGATGGAGCTATGATTCAAGTGGTAGAACCCTAGTCTTGAGCAAAAAAAAATGGTGAAGGATAGCACCCTGGATGATTAGCTGCAAGAAGGTCCAGCACACACAAATGTACTGGAATTAGAGTCAAATCTTTAGAAAGTGTGCTTAGTTTACAAAAGTGGAGTCAGTGTTACATCTATTATTGAGAGCAGTATTCCCCAGACAGAAGAATGCCAATAGCTAGTTTATCACCCAAACTCTCCAGAGAGTCACTGGGCCAAAGTTACTGGAGAAAAGGATGATGACCCTGACCTGTTATAACTGGGTTTATCCAGAGGAATAGAATCACTAGGATGTACAGATATCATTCAGTATTGGTTTCTACACACGTTCCTCACCAAGAGAACCCACAATTCAAGGATACCCAAGTCCCTTGTGTAATGTGGCAGAGCATTTGCATAGAACCTATCCAGGTTCTCCTTCATATTTTATGCCAAATATAGTCTACTAGTGATACCAAATACTGTGTAAATATTACACAACTAGTTGATACATTATATTGCTTAGGGAATGGTGGCAAGAGCAATGTCTGGACACACTGACATAATGAGAGTAGTTGTCACTACAACACAGATCCATTGTTGGAGGCAATTATGGGTGTGGAACTCCCAGATACAGAAACCCTGGAGGAAAAATATCTGTGAAGTCTATCTATCTATCTATCTATCTATCTATCTATCTATCTATCTATCTATCTATCTATCTGTCTGTCTGTCTGTCTGTCTGTCTGTCTGTCTGTCTGTCTGTCTATCCACCCATCTACCTATCTACCCATCTATCATCTATCATTTATATCTATCAATCAGCTATTTATCATCCATCTATCTATCTGTCTGTCTGTCTATCTGTCTGTCTATCCACCCATCTACCTATCTACCCATCTATCATCTATCATTTATCTATTTATCTATCTATTTATCAATCAGCTATTTATCATCCATCTATCCATCATCTTTCTTCCTCTTTCTACTCCTCCTCCACCTCATTACCATCTATTTTAGAAAGAGAGTGAGGGAATAGTTCATGTGGTGATAAAGATGAAAAGTTCCATGATTTTCTATCTGTACACAAGGGATCCAGGTTTAATCTGACTTAAAGGGCCCGAAAATCAGAATAACTGATGGTGCAAATCCTAGTCCAAGAACAAGAGAAGTTGAAATGGATGTGTAACTCACACATTCCACCTTCCTCTTCCATCTGTTCTCTTCAGACCTTCAGTGGGTCTGATGACGGCCAACCAGATAGGAGAGATTACTCTGTTTTATTTACTCTGTTGACAGCAATGCCAATCTCTTTGGAAAACACTCTCTACAACATACCCAGAAACAATGTTTAGTTGGGGACCCTGTGGCTAGCTGAGTAGATACACAAAATGAATCTTGCAGCTGGGTTGATGAGGGTAAAACATCAGTCTCAGTCCTTGGCCAGCAGGCTATTCAGAGCCATAAAATGCCAGGGCCTGCTGTTATCCCTTTGGGTAAAACTTATTTCCATTTCACAGCTGAGGTAGGAAGCGAAGCAGGACTACTTTGTACTTGGATTGTCTGTTTGGGAACACATTTGATGGAGCGCCTAATAAACAAAATCTTGTGGTTAGCGCTGCCTCCATCCCAAGCTACTATTCAGAACCACAACTGTTCACATCCTGCAGATACAATTTTGAGCAGCAAACAAATAAATAAGATTTTGTGTTCTGTATTATTACAGCTTCAAGGTGAGGAATTGGACGAAAGTTTGAAGCATCAATCTCAGTGTTTGCTCTTTTATGGTCCTAAGCTCAATTTCCCAGCATCTAAAAGAGAGTTGATAATTTATATATCATTTGAAACTCTATAACACATTATTTATGTTTTGATATGGGAGCAAGAAGACTGCAACTTAATATTGACTGGACTATCCAGCGAGACTGAATGTGGAGGCTGAACGTGAGCATTGGAAACTGTTTAGAGTTTGCCGAGGAATAAAATAGGCAGAATGATAGTTTGAGAAGCCGATCACAGACAATAGTCTACAAATTGATGCAACGATTCTATATTAGGAAACCGAGCAAATAACTTGATGTTATTGGTATTATTTTTATCTTTTTTCCGTGTGAGAAATATAATAACGTCTGTTTCTAGCAGGATGGTAAAATAGACATCTTGGAAGACTTTAAAAAACAGTTTAAAATGTTAGTTTAAAAATATAAGGTGGGGTAGACAAGAAAATCTTTTGAAAAATCAGAGAAAAATTATGTCAAAGTGGTAACTCAGACAAATAAATGACATTTACACATAAGTTATTTGCTGAACTGTAGTAACCCACTTGCTTTTAAATGTTAGGGTATAGGGCTTAGAGGAAAACAGAGAAATAAGCAGAAACCTATGTTCTGAAAAAATAAAAGGCATCTAGTAGGACAGTCCATCTATGTTACCAAGATAAGTGGGGAAAAGCCAGCCCTCACTCCATGCCCTCAAAAGACTTCAGGAAATAGGTGTACTTAGGCACAAATGTTCTTACCACATTTAAGCAGGCTGAAAAAGAAATTTATCCAGGTTTTTTTGTGTTGGGTAAAGTTTTGCTTGGGAAGAGGTAGGTGATAAGTTAACATTCCCTGAATGATCATTCAAACCGGGCTCAGGACACAAGTTAAAGTACTTCTAAGTTTGATCTGTCACCAGGAGCCTGGAAGAGGCAGATGTGAGAAATCTGGGGGTCACCCACTTTAATCAGACACTCCATGAGACTCCCACAAGTAGGCTTTCAAAGACTATGGATTCATGCTTAAAGAAAACAAATAAAGAAAAAGAGTAGAAATGATTCAAAGACATTGAAAATAGATATATTTATATGCAAATATTCTTACTATACTTGAAAACCTTCAAAGATAGAATGGAGTCTTCATGCAGAAAGAAAACCATTATAGAACAATAAATGTTAAAAGTAATAACAGTGCTTACTCTGGCAATTTGTATACTAAGCTTTGAGAAATACAGAGAAGATTAACATGGCCCCTGTGCATGGATGACATGCAAATTTGTGAAGTGTTCCAGGGTTTGCTTAGTTACTACAAGCTGTCTGGAAAAAGTAATAATAATAATAATAATCACAACTCAGAAATGAACCTTTAATCATGCAAAATAACAGTATGAAGTAGCAGATTATATGTGCATGTATGTGCCTTAATGCTGTGATTTGGATGCAGAGTCTCCTGCTCTTGTTTGGCCTTGTCACTCAAAGCTGGTTCTCAACCATTTGATCTATACCTTCATTTTCACTTTTTAGTTGTCTAGTTGGAGGTAAAAGACTCCTGAATTTGTCTGCCTGGGCTGGATTTGAACCTTAATACTCAGATCTCACCCTCTTGAGTAGTTAGGGTGACCACAGGTATGAGTCACTGGCACCTGGCTACTAGATTATTTTTAACTAGTAACAAGATAAAATCTTGCAAAAATTTATTGAAAAATTGTTTAGAGGACAGGATTGCCAAATATAATATTGACTGAGATAATGTTATTCCAAAATTCAAGAAATGATCTATTTCCAATTATGTTAAATAACATTTTGATTATAAAATATTAAATTATGTGTCAATATACATATATATATATATATATGTATATACTATATAGTGTAAGAAACTGAGTCATGAAGTTATTAGAACAAAGGGCAGAAAGCAAACTCAACAGACCAGAAGGCTTTATTCAGGAATGAAGCCTGGGAAGGGCTACCAAGTCTCCTTCAGCCTGGCTGAAGGGGAAATGGCACCCTCCCCCTTATAACTAGAGCTCTAAATATTAGGCAGTGAAATCAGGAGGATGGGAAGATGGAGGTGGGGTGAGATGGAGGCAGGGTGGGTGAGCAATGCTATGTTGACTGAGGAGTTTCAAGGTCTCAACAGCTTCTGTGTTAATCAGGGGCAGCCTCAGCCTCAGCTGTGGCCTTGGTCTCAGGCTGTCTTCCAAGACCCCACTGGTTCATTTCTTCAGTGGGAGTGGAGGGAAGATGATTCAGTGACTGGACAGCAAGGAAAGTTCTAAGATATGGCTGTCCGAGGGAGGTGGGTGCTTTAGGTTAAGTCATTTTCCATCATTCCTGACACGAGAAAGGCACAAGAAACAAGGGTAAGGGGATGATGTCCTGTCTGGCTACTTCCTTGTGATGTGGGGTGGTGAGGGGAGTAGGGATCTTATGCTATCAGAGTCAGGTCTTAAACTTTGGAGCAGAAACATGGCTTTGCCTTGTTGCTGGGTTGCTGAGAGACAGCTGTTATGTAGTTGGTCACGTACTTTTTGTGGATCTGACTTGAGCTACAGAGGATTAAATCTGCAATGATAAAAGACTTAAAAGTAGTTATGTTGAGGGCTGGGAAGGTGGCTCAGTGGTAGAGAGCTTGCCTTGCTTGCATGACCCCTGGGTTCGATTCCTCAGCACAACATAAGCAAAAAGAAAAAAGCCGGAAGTGGCACTGTGGCTTAAGTGGTAGAGCGCTAGCTTTGAGCTGAAGAGCTGAGGGACAGTGGTCAAGCCCAGAGTTCAGACCCCACGACCGGACCCCCTCAAAAAAAAGTGGTTATGTTGGAAGTTTGAAACAATAACTTATTAAACAATTTAGTTGGTTATCTCCATTGTATACTAAGCAAGATTGACAGCTTTGTAAATGGCACTAGATCATATACAAGAAGGAACACATGGATGCCATTGCTTGATTTTTGTTTTGTTTTTTATCCAAGGTGGCTTATATACTTGGGGAACAGAGCTATTAATAGCAAACCTTTTACATCCATGTGTTAATTTTCATCTTAGGAAAAAAAATCTTAGATTAGTTTATTTATTTTTTTTTGACTGCCAAAAGCAGAATCTTTATTAGCAAATAGCAGGGTCAGGAGACCCTAAAGCACTGGTAGACTGTGGGGTGCCATTCCTCAGCAATTCAACTCTCGGTTAGTGCTTGAGCCACAACACCATTTCCGGCTTTTTCTGCTTATTTGGTGCTGAGGAATTGAACCCACGGCCTCATGCATGCAAGGCAAGCACTCTACCACTGAGCCACCTTCCCAGCCCCTTTAGATCAGTTTTTAAATTGCAATTACATGCTAATATTACCATCTTATAAGCTCTGTCTTATAAAACTCAATGCATACACCATCTTCTACTTACACCATCTGCTACTTACATTGTGTGGTTTGTCTTAATGTCTCCTTTTTTTCTATTTTGAACCAAACATTTTAGACAATTCTTTCTTCCCCAGTCCTCTCTTATCTAATCGAAACCATTTTTTCCTATTTCCTCAATTCTTTTTTTAATTAATTAATTAATTTATTAAACTGTGAAAATACCATACATAGGGGTTACAATTACATGAGCAAAGTAATGAGTAAATTTCTTATCAAGCATTGTTGCCTCCTCCTTTGTTTCCTCCCCCCAACCCCCACCCCCCGCCACTGCCAAAGTTGTAAAGTTGTAAAATTCGTTTTTTGACCTAAGGTCTTGTACATCTCATTTTGCAAAGCCTTAACCAAGGTCTTGGCCCTGACTGTCAGCTAAGAGAATCAGGACTGCAGAACAAAAAAAGAATGGAGTCAGGAATGAAGAAGGAAAAAGACTGGAGCATAGGGAACTTCCAACCAGTTGTCACTTCATTTTGTTTTAAGAAATATTTTAACTACTTGGTATTGGGACCAGATGAAGGCAGAATGGTGATATAATTTCCAAGGATTTTAGATCCTTGACATTGGGTGTGGCTGAGAAGATGCTTCCATTGGTGGCTAGATCACGGAGGCTTAAAAAACCTTTTTATTGTAAAGATACTGTACAGAGGGGTTACAGTTACATGAGCAAGGCAATGAGTCCATTTCCTATTGAGCATTGTTACCCCCTCCTTTGTTTTTCCCCTACCATCCCTTTCCTCCCCACTTCCCCAACTCCTCCCTCCCCCTACACAGTTGAAAAGTTCATTTTCAACATGGTGTCTTGTACATCTCCTTGTTACAATGGGTCCACCTGAATCCTTATTTCAGCATTTTGTTATTTCTCAATTACACTGCACTGCCATGCCCTTCTCACTCTGATGAACTGGAACCCTGGAAACTGTAACCAAAACAAATATTCTTCCTTGTAAGTTGCTCATATCAGGCATTCTGTCACAGCCAAAAGGAAACTGCTAGATGCTGTATGGTATAATTTCCTTTACATGAAAGCATGTTTTCAGAAACTACAAGCAGATTACTGATTTTCTGAGAGTGTGTGTAGGGAAGTAGGTGGCAGGATGGAGATAAAATGCACAAAGGCAGAAGTCATTTTTAGGGGATGTTACAAATATTCTAAAAATTGTGATGAGAAGTGGGTGAATATTTTTTAGCATATGACTTATATCTCAAGAGTTTTTATATTGATTAATTAATTAGTGCTGGTACTGGAGTTTGAACTCAGGGCCTGGATGCTGTCCTTTAGCTTGTTTTCAATCTAGGGTGGTGCTCTACCAATTGAGCCACTTCTTTACTTCCAGGATTTGGATGATTATTTGGAGATAAGAATTTCAAGGATTGAGAACTGAAATCCTCTGATCTTAGCCTGCTGAGTATCTAGGATTACAAGTATGAGCCAGTAGCCCTGGCTTTCATAAAACTCTTAAAGCTAACTAGAATGTAGAAAGAGACAGGTAGTTTCAAAGCTAATCAAAACATGCAAAAAGGAATGAAAAGATAATTATAGTGACAAAATGTGCTCAGTCAAGTTTACGTTATAACCACAATATCATAAAGATAAAGTCTATATTGTAAAATCTTTTAGAAACATAAAAATTAACAAATGGAGGAGAAGAGTTAGTTGAAAACAAACTTCTCTTAGAAAAGATAGGTTGTATAAACAACAATAAAATAGGATACAGAAGACTCATATAACATAATTTTCAAGGTTTACCTAATATATAGAACAGTACTTTATATCAAAGGTATTAGGCTTTATTGTAAACATAGCAGAAATTCAACAAAATATGATATTTTAGTTTATAAAAGAAATCTCACAAATAGCAAAAAATATCCATATATATTTGTGCAACTATACTATGCTTACATTTATTCTACAGTGCACAAAAATAAGAATGAAGGACTCATATATACTCACTTAATATTGAAGAACCAATTGCATATGACCCAAGCCCAGTACCCAACATACACAGGTATATATAATGTAATTGTGAGACTGTTTGAGAGGACTGAGAAAGGAAAACAGAATAATAAATTGATTCATGTTGTTTTCAAAAAGAACAGTAATACCTGGCTTCTCTTCAGAAAGCAAAAATGAGGCTATAAGGCCATAGCATAACATATTTAAAGCCTCTGGATAAAAACTGTCCAACTGAAATCCTTTATCTGGCAACTTTAGATGTGAATGCAAGAGAATGTAGAGAAACATTAGCAGGCCAGTCCAGAAGAACCACTAACCCAATTTCCTAAATAGAAATTCCAGGGAGGACTAGAAAAAGAAATGTGGAAAGGAAATCATCAATAAAATAGTGGAAGAATTTTTATCAAAAATAAAGAAAATGTGGTTCAAGAGTGAACAGGCTTATTAATCATCTCATATATCATGTGAAAAAGAGACCTATATAAAAATATATCATCTACTACTACTATCTGAAAATTTTGTAACTGTGGGGAGAGAACTATCAGTAGATAAATGAGTACATAGACAATAGATACTTAGACAGAAATATAGATAGATACATGTATACATACAGACAGACAGATAGACACATAGACAGATAAACACGTAGACGGATGGATAGATGACATAATGGGATTCAGAATATGATTTTAGAAACAAAGCGTTATTCATCATTATAGACCTTAAGCATGATCTTGAGAACTAGAAAATGATATAGTAGTTCCTTCATAATTCATTACTTCTGATCTAGAATTCTATTCTGAGTCAAATTATTTTTTGTTAATATAATAAGAAAATGTCACAATTGAATTCTTTAAAGGAAATTACCTTTCAAACATTCTCTTCCTTAGGAAACCACTAAAAATATGCTCTGCTAAACTGATGGAATAAA